GTTTGGAGAAGTCTTTTTTGAGAAACCTAAATTTGATACGGAACAGCTTATGAGTAGTATATCTAAAGTAAAGGGTCCGGAGAAGAAGTTGGAACTCTATTGAATCTATGGATTTTGATGATAAGATCCATGAAATCAAAACAATGGCTAAACGAGCACATGAAATAGAAGCTGGTTAAACAAGAGTTTTGGAAGGCGATTATGAGCATACCAGAAGTATCTAGATCTCGGATAATATGCATATGCAAAGATCAAGCTGCAAGGAATCCATAGGAAGAAACCGTGTTTAAATCAGAAGTAAATTCCATCCAGAAATCTATACGAAAGTTGATGAAAAGTTTTATGTTTCTCTGATCCAAAAACCTGCAATTTTACCTTTGAGTTCAGTGTGTATGTAGGCTACTTTGGAGGTGATTTTCAACCAGATATAAGGAAATTGGATCACAATAAAGTTATATATGGAAAGATCCCATTGTAGAGAATTCATTGGATCAATCGAATTATGAATATAATTATAAACAATTCATATATCATCTTCAAAGTTGGGCCAAAATCATCTGAATCTGCAGAAACAGACAAAATTGTTTGGTAACAGCATTTTTAGAAGATTGTTTGACAAGGTTAATAAATGCTGATCAAGTTGAAATATGGTATATGTTCTCATGGCATGTGAGGCTTCATAATCAACGGTGGATTTAGGAGTGAACGGTTCATTTGTTAATTATTCATGTTTTCTTGAGCATGTTTGATGTAATATAACAAAGTATGACAAACCTCCAATAATCCAGTTCAACGAACAACTTATATGGATCCATTTATGTCTCTCAGATAATGTGTAGAGCTTAGTGTGGCAGATAAACTGAAGTTGTTTTGTTGGGACTTCAATGGGGAGATGACAAAACAACTAACATTAGAGCTGCAAAGTCCGGACATCTTATTTTGTTTAGCTTTATTTTGATGTTTTTATACATATAATAATCAGAAATAATCAAATCCATTCTTGAAATGAATCATTAACATACAATTTTTTTAAAATTATTTGTATTGTTTTTTGAATAAATGATATCATTTAATTTTACCTAAACAATGAATATATAAATTAGATATACTTATTATGATTATAAAAATATATAATATAAGCACAAGAAAGTAAAATATAACTAAATTAAATAGCATATATATAATAATTAAAAACATAAAATAATAATTAAGATAACCAATTGAAACAATAAAAAAATCTATAAACTTTATATAAATATAGTATTAGAATAATTATTGGTTGATATAAATATAGTATTGTTTATATAAACTTTAGATTATTTTTTTATCATGTCAAATTAGAATAGAATTATAAGAATATATATATATATATATATATATATATATATATATATTAACTTTTTTTATTAATTTTGCATTCTTTAAAATAGAGAATAGTGAAAGTTACTGTCATTTTAATTGAAACCAAAATATTTATTAAAAATAACAATAGATTTTAAAATTCTTTTTATTATTTGTTTGTTTATAATATTGTTTTCAAGCTATAACAACTTTAAATGTTTCATAAAATAATATGAATTTCTGTAAAATAGTTTTATTATAACTTCCCGTCCGTAGGGCGGGCCAACCCTAGTGTAAAATAAATTACACTAAAAGATAATGTGAGACAGAGTTGTGTTTGTTTCCTTGAATCCTCTTACAAACATTCAGATCAAATGGTAAGAGACACAAACTAGCTAGTGGCTTTGAGATTGTAGCTCTGATATCATATAATATTATGGACTTAGAGTATCTGTATAACAACTTGTAAAAACACAAAATATAAATATGTATGTACTTGGAGAACAAGTTATATAACTCTAATACCACATTGTTCAGATTGTCATGATCCTTGTCTGCAACAAACAAACAAACAATCCACCAAATGGTACTCCCAGATAAACAAATAAAAAACATACTCCCAGAGATCAACGCATTTTTATATCAAACTATTGTTCCACCAAATGGCGCACTCTCTTTTTTTTTGTTTTGCTAAGTGTAAGTCTTACTAGTCAAACATTTAAAGAGAATGCAAATTAAAGAAAAAAAAAAGAGAGACCATACTTACCTTTGTGCATTCTGCAAAGTTGCTCCATGTGTTTGTATTGGCATGAAGGTCAAATATTTTGACGGTGTGAAACTGAACCGGTGAAGCTGCCATCTTCTCCCATATGATAAGATTACGTTGACTAAGTCTAGGATGAACAAGTCTTCCTATATTCTAGGAGATAGGAACGACTAGTTTTGAGTTATGTTTCGATTTGACTTTTTGTACAATATAAGGTCTATTTAAGGAGACATATGCTATCTCTTTGTTCTACGTTCATTGCTTTGTTCAAAAGGTACAAATTAAGCAGTCTGCAAAAGATACTTCCTAAGCATGAAAACGAAAATAAACCATAGCAAAAGACCACAAAGCTGGTGAGATTGATGTTTGATATATCAACTTGCATTTTTGTCTGCTTCTTTCTTTATCTACCCAAACGAGCTGATGTGATGTTCCTCTGTTTCATAGCTTTCCTTGCTTTCAACCATGCCACATTTTTTTGTGCTTTCATAATACGCTCCTCAATATCCTTTGCCATCTCTTCTATGTTAAGCAAACTTTGTTTAACTGAGTCATTACCAATACCACCTCCACCGTTGCTCTTTTCTAAATCCTCTAACTGCTCCTTGGGTCTCATAGTCTCCTCCTCACTTCCGAGGCCATTATCCTGAGACAAATAGTCTTGTCCTAGAGTTTGATCCCCTACGTTGAGGTGTGTATTTGACTTATCAGATGAGCTCAAGCCCATACTCTTATGTGCTTTTGTTCTTCTGTCTTCACTAGCACCTTCAGAGGCAAGAAGAGGATCTGAAGACTTGTTTTCATCAAATGGAATGGGAATGTTGATCTCAGCTGCTTGGCTTCCGCTTTCATTAGTCTCTGTTTTATCCCCATAAACTCCTGCTATGGCACCATCTGGTTCATGGAGCAAATAGTCTGGTTCCATGCTGTCATCAGCAATCGTAGTACTCTCGTCTGCATTGTTTCCATGTACATCCAGCTCATCATCACAACTTTGCATTGTCTCTGGTGGTGATACAGCAATGTCAAGAGGAGGACTTGAAAAGTTGTTTCCATCAGATAAGCTTAGGACCAACGTCCTTCCTGCTTTTTGTCCTGTTTCATCGCCATCTTCATTCCTTTGCTCTATTTCTGGAAGAGGTACAGTTTCATCTCTTATGGAAGCAAGATTATGACAAGACCCTGAATCGTTGTTATCATCTCCCTCAAGTCCACTTCTCTTAGAAGCATCTCTTCTACTTCTCTTCATATAAATATACTTCTTATTAGATATTCTTTTTAGCCATTGAGAATTGGTGAGTCTATCAGCTTTTTCATCTTCATTGTCTGATGGAACCTGTGTCTCAACACGAATCATACTATTCTCATCATCCTCACGAGGTCGCTTCTTGTTCATTGATTCCTCAGCTCCATCCTTGCTTGTTCCACCCATCTCAGCACCTGGGTGAACAAAACTAGTACCATCACCTCCTGGTGTCAACGTTTCATATGATTCAACAACTTGTTTCGCCATAGAAGACCACTGTAATTGTAGAATCTTGCTGATCCTTGGAGCTGCTTGAGTTGTTGTGAAACGAGAAGGAATGTACAATAGCAAATCATCAATAGGCTTGTCATAGTTTCTCCAGGCTTCCTCCTGAGAGAGGTGGTTCTTGTTAACAGGACAAGTAAACTTCTGAACCATCCCAAACTGTGAAGCCACTCTATTGGGAAAATAATGCTCCACACAATCAATGCCAACAAGCTCAGATACTCTGATGCAACGAGCATAGCTGAGAAGTTCATCATCAATGTTGGTGGTGTCAACAGGAACCCACATTGCTTTCTCAGGGTAAAACTGAGGAACGTTCCAGTTTTCCACATGTGTTGTGTAAGGACGCCATTCAAAGCTGTCCAATATTGAGTTTTCAAGAACCTCTGTCACATTTCTAGCTTTCTTGGTCTTACTTGTTTTCCTTTCCAGGTCATGCCAAAGAGCTACTCTTGGATCACCCTTTAGCATCGGGTTAGGAGACTGTAGTTCCCTGAACCTCTCCCATGTCCAAACTTGAACCAGCTTGAACAATGCACACAGATCAATCTTGAGAGGAATAGTCGATTCGTCGACAGCTCTAATGTGGTTTCTCAAGAGACTTAGCTCTGCATACAACTGAGAAAGAACAGCTGGAGCAAGAGCAATCCTTCTACCACTTGAAAGATGGACAGCAATTGGCAAAACAGTTTCATCGATATGATAATATCTTGTTGGAAACACAAAGTAGCTAAGCCACAAGGCAAGAAAGGCCACATGCTCAAGCTCATGACCAGTGTCCATGAATCTTGATACCCATGTTACTTGGTTTGCGTTAAACCCTTTCTCCTCCTTAATCTGCACACACACACTCTCCAGTTTTTTCTCTGTTCTCTTCTCCTCTGTGCTCTCAAGACTTGCAAAGTAGGGCAAACCCAAAACAGAAAACCCTAGCAGCACCATCACATCCTCTAAAGTTAAGGTTGCTTCACCCCAAGGGAAAACAAAAGTATTGGTTCTGGGACACCACTTCTCAGCAACAGCGAGAATTAGAGACTGGTTCTTGTGGATTTTCTTGGTTGATGCCATGATAGCTTCGAAAATCCCAGCCTTTCTCCAGGTGAGTTGGTGCTTTTTCGACAGTTTATGAGCCCAAGACATGAAGTCTTTGCTAGCATGTCTCCAACCATGGTAGGTAACACCCATAGACGCTGAGGCATGAGAATGAGAAGAAGCTGAATGGCTTTGACGAAGAGGAGGAACAAGTTTGGATTCATCAGTGGTGGTGAGACTACGAAGTCGAGTGTTCTCAGAGGAAGCCATGAGATCTTCAAACGCTGGAGATCACAGAAAGAAAAACAGAGATGGTTAAAGAGCAAATAACAAGTCTATACAGAAACGCAAAGAATCTTATGGATGAATGCTAGTTTTCAAGAGATCAACACAAACTTTTAAGCTTCATAAGAAGTCAGTGTACACGAGCAGCATAAAGATCCAGTTTTAGACATAAACTCTCAAAAATTTTGAACTGATGTAATAAACTTTAAGTTAGCAAAACAAGAGAACCTATAGCATTAGTCAGATCCACGCCAAGATTCTAACTTTACAACTCTTTAAGCTTTACACACAGACCATAACTAGGAAGCAAAGGTAAATCTTCCTTAAGAGTTCAAAAGAAGGTACCTATCTGTGCGAGCAACACCAAAAGAGAAGAATGGAGATGTTAAGAGCAACTGTGTTTTGTCTTTCTGAAACAGCTTTGGCTTGTTGGAACCCTAAACTCAAAAAGAAAAAAGATAAATGAGAGAGAGTTGCAGGTGAAGAAGCAGTGCCTTTTTTAAGGTCAATGGAAAAGTATGGAAGGTCTCGTCAATAAATACAAAAGCAAAATATTCATTACACACTTTTTGACTAGATTTTACAAATGGTAAACTAAATACACACAGATAACATCATAAAGCTACGTTAAAATTCACATGATTATAGATCACATTTGTTGTCTTCTTTCAGATTAGACACAATTAGCTTAAGCAGAAACTCCAGTTTAGATATGATTTCATTTGGTTTTCCAGTTTCTTATCGTTGCCAAAGTCTTCTCCACCTTCGTAATACGTGCCTCTAAATCCAATGCAAGCTCCTTCGTTGTAAGCTTTCTCTGTTTCAGTCTTTCATCTTCATGGAGCGAACACTCTCCTTCCTTGGTTCCAGGATCAGTCACAGTCTTCTTCTTCTGCTCTGGATTATTACTTCCATTTACATCAACTTCATCATCACATGTTTGTCCTGCCTTTAGTGGAGGCAGAATGGTAATCTCCTCAACTTGGATTCTAGTTTCTTCTTCATCATTCTCTTCAGTCTGTGGCTCTATTTCTTGTGGGGCTATGCATTCATCATCACCAGAAGCAAGCTCTTGACAAATCACTGAATCATTGTTACACTCCTTATCACTCTTGTCTCTCAAATGCTCATTTGTCCTCTTCGCTAACTCCTTGTGAAACAACTCACTAAGTGGCACGTCTATTGAAATTGATGCACCACAATCACCAGTCTTGTATTTTGTAGTAACAGAACCTGTAGCAAAACGAGAAGGCTTCTCTCCTTCTTCATGGAGCGAATACTGTGCTTCCTTGGTTCCAGGATCAATCACAGTCTTCTTCTTCTCTGGATTGTTTCTTCCATTAACATCAACACAGGTTTGTCTTGCCACCACAGTCTCCTTTGCTTTACTTCTAGTTTCTTCTTCATCTTTATCTTCATTCCTTCTCTCTAATTCTTGTGGTGCTACAGAAGCAAGCTCTTGACAAATCCTTGAATCATTGTTAGCATCCTTATCTCTCCTCCTGACTCCAAGTGATCCAGAAGCATCACCTCCAGTTTTCTTTCTAGACTTGACCAGCTGAGAAATAGTAATATCATCAGAAGAACCCATACCATTATCATCATCATCCCCACGAGCTCGCTTGCCCCTCAAATCCTCACTTGTCCTCTTCGCTAACTCCTTGTGAAACAACTCGCTAAGTGGCACGTCTATTGAAACTGATCCACCACAATCACCAGTCTTGTGTTTCTTTATCTCAGATCCCATACGTCTCGCTATTCTAAGTTTCCTAGGTCGCTTGAGTCTTGCAGGAAACCCTTCTCCCAACTTCTTAAGAAGCTGACTTAGTGGCAGTACCTCAGGATCAGGAGATGCATCATCATCAACAGTATTGCTTGTATTACAAGTTTCATTTAACTCCTCAAAGCCAAGAAACTGTGAGACTGATTCCACCCACCAGTCTCGGTATCTTGTAGTAACAGAACCTGAAGCAAGACGAGAAGGCATGTATAGCTTCAAACCATCAAGAGGCTTATTGTAATCATCCCATGCTTCCTTCTCTTTGAAATTCCTATGACGAGTAACCAAACCAGGAAGATCTTGACTAAACCCGAATTGCATAGCCACTCGATTCGGATAGTAATCCTCTACAAAACCAATCCCAACAAGCTTAGAACTCCTCACACATCTTGCAAAGGCCACAAACTCATCATCAAGCTTTTTATCAACAGTCACCCACACAGCTTCTTCAACGTAAAGCCTAAGAGGGTTCCAGTTCTGTAATGGTTTAGTATAGGGACGCCAATCAAATTCATCAAAACTTAAACTGTCACATCTCTGTTTCAGTAAGCTCCATTGAGCAATCCTAGGTTCTCCCTTTGGTATCTCTCCAGGTTCTGGTCTCACGTTCTTGAATCTCTCCCATGTCCATACTTGGACTAACTTTAACAAAGACATGGCAATGAACTTATCTTCAGTAAAGGCACATGCTCGACTTAAATCTCTGTATACACCCGCGAGAACAGCAGGAGCAAGAGCAACCCTTTCACCTCTAGCTAAACGGACAGCAATCGGTAACACGTGTCTTGAAATAGAAGGACGAGATTTATGTGGAAACACCAAATGCGAAAGCCACATGGCGAGAAAAGCTTCATGCTCCAACGAATCATCATCTCTGTCTCTGAAACGTGAAGTCCATTGTAATTGAGTCACCCTCCCACATTTGTGCGTAGCCGCTAGAATCTTTGCCCTTTCTTTCTCTAGCTTATCCACGGCATCTCTCATCTCTGAGCTTTCTAAAGGAGCGAGAACAGAAGAACCCAAAACAGAGAACCCTAAAAGCACCATCACATCCTCGAGAGTTATCGTTGCTTCGCCCCAAGGGAAGACGAATGATTTGGTCTCAGGACACCATTTCTCAACTAGGGCTTGGATCAGGGACGGGTTCTTGACGATGTTGTAAGTAGAAGCCTTGATAGCTTCAAAGATCCCAGCTTTTCTCCAAGTGGGTTCGTGTAAAGCTTCCATCTTTCGAATCCAAGTTACGAAATTAGGGTTTGGAGACCGAAACCCATTGTCGGTATTACTCAAAGACAGAACCTTTAGGTCTGATGATGAAGAAACAGAGACACGACGACGACGTGGAAGCTCAGCTACAGGACCATCAATGGAGGTTACGTAAGGTTTCAAGAAATGGGTTTTCATCAGGCAGCTAGGATCTCGCGTTTTGTCTACACTTGACTCCATAGGACAATGAAAGTTCTCTTCTTTCTCTTTTTTCTTCTTAGATAAAAGTTCTCATTTTTATCTAATTTTAACACTTGAATCTATAAGAGATTTAAAGTTTTCTTCTTTTTGAATGTTTAATGTTTGAAATTTGACAGTGAAAAGCTGAAATGATGTCACAGGCTCTCTCTCTAGGTAATGGAGCTGAAGGGAGCAGTTTCTTTATATGGTAACTTGAAAGGAACTCAATTAAATGAACACAAGAAAAAAGATCCATCTCTTTCAAACGAGGAACGGGAACAGTTTATTTTAAATCCTATAAATTGGTTCACTGTTGAATCTTCAATACCAATCAATTTCTGGGCATTTCCGGTTCGGTTAAACCATCAATTCGGTTCAACCTTTATCGTCAGCGCTTTATGACACTCTTTGCGTACCATTTTTTTTTTGTCAGTGAGTTCCAAGAAAGCACATGCATTTTATACAATCATGGTAAAAGTAACAGATGCAGCTTTTGCCCATCACTAGACCTAGGACCCAAAAAACTAAAAGAAAAGCTAATTAGAGTTTACTATGTTGATCTGAGTAAGTAACCTCCATATGTTGTCTGAGGTTAGTTGTAAAATCCTATTTGTTGATGACATATTATCCTAAAACTGATCACTTTGACCTTCTCTCTTGTGTTTTCCATGTTCAAAAACCTCTTAAGCGTTTCAGATTACTTCTTATGTCTTTACCTTTCTGCACACAAAACATGTAACAAAAGACCGAAATGAAGTTAGCAAATAAATGAGTAACAGTTTCAGGTTATTTCATGGCGTAATTGCTCACCTTTCAATGTTTCTTTCTACCTATAGTGAGCCTGAAAAGGTAAAGATGGTTTTGGTTTAGAGAATATGCAGTTTTGTTATGAGATACTCTCTGAGTTAGGTTGAACATACCCACATTCCTATGCTGATTGATCTGATGAAAATGCCTTAAACTGCTTGGTATCAGACTCGGTTTGGCGGGTTTCTTCAGACTTAAGAGGGGAACCAAACAAGCTATCAGGAAGAGTATTTTCCAGATTTGTCTCTTGCCTTGAGAGAAATGAATAAACAAAACGTGTGTAAGAACGAACTAATGAAGTAGCTTATTTAGGACTTGATTCTTATTACTCATTTACCTGTTGTAGAAATCGTTACTGTAGCCACGTTCATTGTTGCTGTTTGCTACGAGCTGAAGATGGCTTTCACCTACACCACTATCACCTGCTAAGTAAAGGGTCATCAATAAAGACCAAGAAAAGAAAGCTTAAATGCAGAGGCCAACAACAATAACAACAACCTTCTGTGGTTTCTTCCAGGCTGCTCTCCGGTTGAAAGAGAAGACTATGGTTGAACCGAGGAGGGAGATGAGAAGGAGAGCCGATAGAAAGACCACGCTCATTCTCCCTCTCAGGCAACTGCAGAGCCAAGAACCTTCTTCTTTGGAGTTCAACTTCCTGCTCAGCTTTCCTTCTCATCATCTCCTGTGTGTTGCTTGAAAACATCCTTGGTCCTGGCAACAAAATGACAAATGAAGAGTTATGATCTCAGTAAGAAAGAAACAAGAAAATAGGTTTATTTACTCAAAATAGAAACTAACCCCTGTGACATTCATATAGATCCATTCCAGAAGAAGGAATTGAGGAAGGAGAATAGTTCCCTCTCTCCATCAGCTGTTGAACTTGCTGCTGTTGCCACTTGCTATAATTTACCAAACTATAATAAGTAAAAGGAACTCAAAGCATACTGAAAGACACAAGAGGGATACATTACTTTTGAAGGATCTTTCCTTTCTCCTTATAGGGTTTAACCAGCACACGTGAGTCACAGATGAAATGAGGGTTTCCACGAGCCAATATGGTTCTCACAGTTTCAGCATTAGCGAAAGTAACAAACCCATACATCCGTTGCTGCTGATATGGGATCCTCACATCTTCCACAGTTCCAAAGTCGCTACACATTCAAAGAAGATACCATCACACTGTCAAACACAAAAAAAAGAAACAATGAAGCTTGATTGATTCTCTTCACATTACCTGAAATAAGAAGAGACGTCTTCATCAGTGAATGAGCTTTCAGATGGAAATGTCAAGTAAATCTGTCTAGAGACTGAGTCATCTCTTTCATGTCTGCTTGGACTGTAATAGTAACCACTTTCTTCTCCTTGTCTGCAAGAAACAAACAAAAAAAAAACACATAACTTGTGTTTCACTAAATGCTACACTCTTTCTTGTAAAGTCAGAGTCTTTCACAAAGACAGACCAAAAAAAGATTCAACCTTTACCTTAGAGCCATGAACTGAGCCATTCTCTGTTGCTGAGCTAACTTCATTCTCATCATCTCCTCTCTCTGTAAGCAAACGTAACCACTAGATGAACCGAAATCATCAACTAAACCGGTCTGTGGAAACCGAGAACCGGCTCCTCCTCCTCCTCCTCTAAACCCTGGTTCCTCTGATTCGTCGTTTGCAGATAAACTCCTCTTGTGAAAACTACCAAACGGACCCTCGTCGTCGAGAAACGACAAGTGATGGTTACTAAGTGGCCGCTCATCGCCGGAAGAAGAGGCGAAAAGGGACGAACCGTAACGAAATGGGCTAGAATCGAAGTTAGGGTTAGGGTTTTGTGAGAACCCATTACTTGGAGAAGACTGAGACAATGGCCGCTGATTGATACTAATGGGTTTTGAGGAAAGACCCAAAACAGATTTGGCTTGGCGACAGAAAGTCTGTAAGAGAGTGTCGGGACCAAAAGCAATACGAATCAAATCAGCTTGTTCCATGTCTTGTAATAGGAAGTAGCCAATGAGTTTGGGGGCGTTGTCTGGTTCTAAAGTTCTGATCTTTTTGAAGATTATGGAAGTCGGGTCGTCGGGATCCATGGCCGGAAAAAGTTTTGTTTCTGTGTTTCTCTCAGTGATGAGAAAGAAAAAAAAGACTCTTGCTTTTGCCTCGGAGAATGGTAACGAGCGGGATTATAATGAAAAGATTTATATAACTAAAATTTTGCCTGTTTTTTGGGTTAATTAGTATTAATTACAAATTAGCGAGTAGCAAAATAGGTTGGAAATTAGGAATCAACCTTTTTTTTTTTTCCCTTTTCGTGGATAAAGTAGTTTTCTTTCTTAGTGTTCTTTTAAAAATAATTTTAGTCTTTTTTCCTCGGATTTTTAACATAAAAACCCCTCAACTAAGTTTGTTTTGGGTAAGAACCCCTAAACTAAGTATTTAATAAAAAAAACCCCAAACTAACGTTATTTAGTGAATTAAACCCTCGTCGGTCATAATTATCAGTACTACCGGTAAATCTTTAGTTTAGGGATTTTATCATTAAACATAAAAATTCAAAAAAAAAGAAAAAAAATCAAAATATAATAACATTATCTAAAAATTCGTAATTATAATTTTCAAAATTAGCAGTTTAAAAATTTCTGTAAATATATGAATGATTTCTTATCCTTTTAAAATGGATTATTAACTATAAAATATCTTAACTAAGTTTGTTTTGAATAAAAACCCTCAAACTAATAAGTAAACCCCCATATTAAACATAGTTGAAGGGTTTTTATCATTAAAAATCTAAAAAAAAATATTATAACATTATCTAAAAATTAATAACTTAAATTTTTAAAATTAGCATTTTGCAAACTTTCTGTAAATATATGAGTTTGATTTGTTTTAACATCAATATTATATATATATAGATTAAATTTTAAAACACCAAAATATAATAAAAAGCATCTAAAGATTTATTGTTACTTTTTTATTAAATAAGATATAATTTTTATTCTGTTTTCTTGTTTTTATACTTATAAATTTTGATAATTTTTATTACAGGTAAATCGTTAGATAATGTTTCTTATATTTTCTTGGTTTTTACATTTTAAATTTATACATATATAATTTTGATTTTAAAAGGATAACAAATCAGACTCATACAGTTAAAATGCTAGTTTTTAAAATTAAAATTACAAATTTTTAGAAAATGTTATTATATTTTGAATTTTATTGATTTTGATGTTTAATGATAAAACCCCTAAACAGGAGATTTACCGGTAGTACTGGTAATTATGACTGGCGAAGGTTTAATTCACTAAATAAAGTTATTTTGGGGGTTTTTTCATTAATTACTTAGTTTAGGGGTTTTTACCCAAAACAAACTTAGTTGAGGGGTTTTTATGTTAAAAATTTTTTTTCCTCTTATCTCTAGTCTAAATAGGTAATGTATGATTTTTAAAACATGATTTTGCTGTATCTTGTTAAAAAAAAAAAATTTTGCTGTTTATTTCCCTAGATTCATTATGTTTTGGTCGAACTTTAGCAATAAAATGTTAACATCTCCGTGAATCATGACAACAAAACTGTTTTGTCACTTACTATACTTCATCTCATTTTTAGATATGATAATTACTATTCTTTGAATTTCTAAGTTCAATAACAAAAAAATTTAAAGTTTTTAGTATTAATTGTTTTCACTCAAATTCTTTTTTTTACTATTATTCAAATCTGGTTAGGCAAATGTTTATAATTTAAAATAATAATATTCGAGATTTACTTTGTTGGGTAAACTCAGAAAGCAATGTTCAAGTGGAATGATTAGACTTAACGGATAAAACAATGATTAACACCAGCAAAGACATGGACCAGTACTAGTTTCTATTGTGAAAGTGTATTGTATACTAACCAAAATTTGATATAGTATTTTAGTTCTTAAGTGATAAAATAATTTCAAATAATTTGACATTATGAAAGCTTAGAAAGGTATACCATGATTCAATCTCAAATGGTATCTTTATTGGCATCATTGTTATTTTCTGAACTATTTTTGCGGTTTTTGTTTGGAGAAAAAACTTTAAGACTGACCGTTAAAACTTATCATTTTTTGTTCATTGGTGATGATTGGTTCGACTGTGATTCTAAAAAAATAGTTGTAAAAATTTAATTGTAGATAAATTGGTTATAGTTGTAAAGTTGTTACTGTAGATTTTTTACTGTAATTATATTTGATGTGACTGTAAGTTCTAGTTTGTGGATATTTTAAAATAAAATATGTGAAATTTGTGGTGTATATATAAAAATTTATCAGTTAACTAGTTCATATTAATATTTTGGGCTATTTTGTATCAACTATCAAATTTACTATTATTTAAAATATGATATGTAAATAACATTTATGTTATTTAAAATATTTCAATAATTTTTAAAACATCCAGAATTAAATTAAATATTTATATATGTTTTTAATTATGATTATCTAATTTATTTGATGTTAGAGATATATTTTTTTCACAGATTTTACAGCATAGAATTTTTTTTCTTTTTAGGTTTTTTTACTTAAAATCCTTAAGAAAAAAGTTTACTTTAGTTTTTTTTTCTATAACTTTGAAAATAAACTAAAGTAAGATTGGTAAAAATTTATGGAAACTTGATGTAGACTTTAAATTTTTAAAATAAAGTTATAATATGATTGGTAAAATTTAATAATTTAAAATAAATAAGGAAATAAAATCCTAACTATTCACCACCATTGTGTAGGAAAACTTACTGATAAACTAGGACTTCTGGTTTGGTGATGATTAACTATAGTGTAAAAGTTTAATATGATGAAGTTATTCCTGAGAAATTAATATTTGGCATCGCTTGAGATATGAGACCGATGCGTAGCAAGTAACTAGTCTAGACCACTTCCGTTTTCGTATAAATTTTGGAAAAAAAAAACTTACTGATAATATGTGTTATTGTTGGAAGTAAATTCTATTTGTGAAAAGGGAAAAGTGAGGCCCATGCAAAGGCTTTTTAGCTTAAGAGTGTGAAAAACGAATCTGAACTCTAACAGCCCAAAACAGGCCTATTAGAGGCCTAATTAACATTCTTATAAAAATCACTAGCAGAAAGATCTAACACAGACGAAAAAACAGGGAGAAGAGAATTAATCGGCTATCAACGACGGCGGCGGCGGAAGTAATGGCGAACCTAGAACCCGAAGCAGTAGATTTCGAGCCAGAGGAGGATGACCTAATGGACGAAGACGGTGCAGCAGCTGATCTCTCCCCACGCGCTTCGAATCCGCGGCTTAGGTCTACTATCGCCGGAGCAAACGACGACGATTCAGCTCAGAGGAAGACCAAAGGCCGTGGCTTTCGCGAGGACAAAGATTCCGATCGCCAGCGCCGCCTTTCCTCTCGAGATTTCGATTCACTCGGTTCCGATGGTGGTCCTGGTCCTCAGCGATGTAATCTCTCTCTCTCTCTAATTGATTTGTTTGATTGATTTGTTTCTAGGGTTTCTCAAATGCCCATGTGGCTAAGATTCGATTTGACCTAGAAAGGTTGCTCCTTTATGTGAATCGTAGGAATTTAGCATAAATTCTTCGAGCAAGATAAAGTGTGAAACTTTGGTCTGAAATAGATACATACTCTGTTGGTCTTTAACTTGATGGTAATAAAGATTTGGAACTGTTTGTGGATGATTTTTGATGTCTTGGTTTATGTGTAGCCATAGAGGGGTGGATTATTTTGGTCACTGGAGTTCATGAGGAGGCACAGGAAGATGATATCTCGAATGCTTTTGGTGATTTTGGAGAGATTAAGAGTTTACATCTCAATCTCGATCGCCGTACTGGTTTTGTCAAGGTATTGAGTTTTTTTCTTTCTTTGTTCTTAGTAGCTCTTCTTGATTTTTTAGTAGCCTTTTAGTGTTTGCTATGTTAGATAATATTCATGGTGGTGGAGTCATGGTGGTGGAGTCAGTGTTACACTGTGTTATTCAGTGTAACACTGACTAATTAAAGAAGAAAGTTAGTTTTGGAATGTTAAACTACTGTTATGATAGATGTAGTATTTATGACACTCGTCTTTAAACACACTTCTATGTGTCAATCAATACCTCACTGTGTATATCAGATATCGAAAGCCGAAATAAAAAGCTGTGTCTCAGTTACTTCAGTTATTGTGTGAATATATCTTATGGAATCTGTAGTAATTTTACCCATTTCATTTTTAAAATTTTTGTCTTCTTTGTTTAGGGCTATGCTTTGATAGAATATGAGAAGAGCGAAGAAGCACAGAATGCTATCAAGGCAATGAATGGAGCTGAGCTTCTTACACAGAATGTCAGCGTTGACTGGGCCTTCAGCAATGGACCCAATGCTGGATCTTACAGGAGAAGGAACATGAGGTTTCTATCCTAATCTTTTTTCTGTATCGCCTCTTATAACCAAGCACAACAAGTTCGTTTTAGTTGCTTTTTTGGTGAGATGAAATGCAAGTATCAATGGTTACTAATTAAGAACACATGCGAGTGAGAGTAGTCAATATTTATTTATTTATTTATTTATTTAGAGTTAAGATTGTGTTTGTATATCAGACTATCAGTCATATAAACGTTGACAAAGTATGTGACTTTTTTTAAGTCTTTTGACCTTATTGTTTGCGTTATATTCATAGCACCCTTTGATCATTGGGTACTTCTGGTTTTTACAGGACTGGGAGGTCACAACGTTCAAGAAGCCCGAGAAGACGTTTCTGATTGTATCATTTGGTTCGAGAGCATCTCTCTCAGTATTCAGGATTCTCTTTCTCTCTTATCTGTAAGTCGTGAGTGTTTGGACTCTTTTTTCTAGGTTTGGATGTGTAATCCTATGCATTTGCATAGAATTGTGTTTCGTTTGTAAACCCCATGAGAGATATGTTTCAATGCTTCTGGTTTGTGAGAAGAAAAAACATTGGTTGAAGATGATGCTTTAGTTTTTTTTTAATTATCAATATTGCCTTCATATATGAGTGAAAAAAGTTAAAATCAAAGAAGAAAACTGAATATGATATTGTGATTACTTGCTGTTACTCACAGTATGCATAATTTCTTGTCACTAAAAGTAATCATCCATATTTTGTGCACATGACTTGGACGATTTGTATGTACTACCTTCTTCACAACTCTCATTCTCCCACAATTAATGAGCAAACTAAAACTACATCATATGATACAGATGGTTATCATCGTATTAAAGCTACCCATTCTCTAACTTTATAATTCATTTACTCCAACGAAGACCTTAGAAGAAAAACAAAAAAGTCTTCTCTCTTCTTTCATTTCGTACACAAATGGAGCGAGAAAGTACGAGCAATGGACGGCCTTCTCGTCCGCTGCAGGAGCATACTTTTGCTTGGGAGGATTTGACAGGTTGTTATACCAAACTTCACTGGTGGTCCTACTCAACAGTTGCTTCATGGACTAAACGGGAATGCTGAACCGGGTCGGAACATAGCCATTATGGGTCCTCTCGGATCCGCAAGTCCACGCTTGTTTGTGTTTTCAAACGTGAAGTCCACGCGTCTTGCAGGTTCGTCATTTTCTTTTTGGTATTTACTGATTAGTATAGGAGGATATCTGTGATTATAAATAAATGAACATTATTACTTGCTGTTCAAAAAGAAAAAAAAGAACATTATTACTAATTTTACTATTTAATTACAAAAATATGAGTCAGCTGAAATCATTTTTCTTTTGTAAATTCCTTACGGATTGGACAATAAAAGGATGAATGTGTACATAATAAGTTCAAATCCTCTAAAGTAAATACAACGCTTACTTGGATCAGTTTATTTTTTTATATATACTTGGATCAGTTTATTTTTTTATATATACTTGGATCAGTTCCAAAACACTTTACTACATTTTTTAGAATGCGGTCGAACGTGATGGTGCTAGGCGCATGGTTCTCGCTGCTAGGCAGAAACACTATCCCTTATATATTATTTGAGATATATTATTTGAGAAGCATTACAACATGTTTTGGTAGCCACGTGTCATCATGAGAATGCTTCTCAAATTTACTAGAGAAAAATGTTGGTCCATATAAACATATAATATACTTTTTATTAAACTAAACATAAACTATTATTATTGCTTTTCATTATTTCCTTAAATAAAATTTACGGAATTACCTAATATGGTTATAAGNATTATTGCTTTTCATTATTTCCTTAAATAAAATTTACGGAATTACCTAATATGGTTATAAGATATATATGACAATTAATGATTCGAATATGAAGATTTGATAAAAAAATTTATAGGCTCTACTATTTTTGTTAAATTTATATTATGAAAATAAATTAAAAAATAACATTAACTATATAACAAAATATATTAGATTTTTTTTTATATATGTTATATTTTGAATTTTTAAAAATGACTATAAATTAATAAAACATTTAAATATTTCACATATAATATTTTTTATTAATAAATGTCCTATATATTAATCATGGAACATTACAACATTTTTTTTGTAGCTACGTGTCACAATGATAATGATTTTCATAACTCTTAGAGAAATATGTTGGTCCAACTAAGCATATGTTGTATTTTTATTATACTAACTATCATATTTGATTAGTAATGTACAAAAGAATATTCCTTATTCTTTCCTTAAATAAAATCTACGAAATTACCTAATAGGATTAACATATATATCACAATTAATGTTTATGAACAATAAAGATTTGATAACAATTTTTATCCTCTTTACTTTTTATTTAATTTTATATTATTAAAAGAAATTAAAAAATCACATTGATCCTATAATAAAAAAATTAGATTTGTTCTTATATGTTATATTTTGAATTTTTTAAAACGACCATAAATTATTTAAAATGGTAAAAATCTCACCTTGAAATTTTTTTGATCAATGATAAAGTTTTTTAGTTCAGCCAATCGTTTTTCTAATGGGTCTTAAATAGTTTATATTGATTAACTAAATAAATCACGCATAATAGAGTGTGTTTTGTTTAAAAATTGTTGCATACCCGAAATCAGTATGAACCATCATCCCTTTCGTTTAAATTTTTGNCAAACGGATTCAAAATTTTGGTATTTAGATTACCAAAAACTGAATCGAAATATTTCAGGTATCCAAGTGCTCGAACCAGATTTATATACTTAAATATATTAATATATTTTTTAAAATGTTCCAAAATACTTAGAAATATATAAAACAGTTAAATGCATATTTAAAAAATAGCTAAACGATACTCCAAATACCAAAAATAGTTAAAATATTTATTTATTTTTTTCCAAATATTTATGATAAAGCAATTTTATGTTAAGTTTAAGTATTTTGGCATTCATTTTTCAAATTTATATGTTATATATTATTTTTTACTTTTAGATTTTGAAAATCTTAAAGTATATATGAATTTCAATCTTTTTTATAAAAAAATAAATGGATTATCCGAAACTAAACCCAATCTGAACCTGCAAAAATTCGAACCAAATCGCAAAGATCTAAACCAAACAAAATCTAACCGAACCAAATGGTATCCAAATGCCTATCTCTAATCAAATGTAAAAAAATTATGATAGCAAAATATATATTTAAATACAACATATTTTTAAAAAGCTCACTCTGCGCATGGCGCGGGTTATCATCTAGTAATATATGATTCCTTCTGTAGGGATTGTTGTCATTATTTGACATTGCTATCCGATTCTCTCCGCGACCTCAAAAATTAAAATATCATATAATATCCTTTTATATGTTTTATATATGTAAAAATACTTCTTCAATGCTTAACTTCACTTTTTTTTTGCAATGTTGATTCTGTTCGAACTAGTGCCAGTGTGGTTCTCATATGAAAACGGTATAGTCATGTGACTATAATATGTTTTGCTTCGAATCATAATTAATCACACTAAAAGATACAACCAATCGTCCGTTTTCGACCATATTTGCATGTGGCCACTATATCAATTTTGATTGATATATAATCCGATTAGATGTTTTCTTCCTACAGAGAATCTCCACTGACAGATTTTCATTTGATTTCTTTTTTGGTTTACAAATTACAACCACACGATGCACTTTATTCTTGACGAAAAATTGATAAAGTTATATACATTTCATATATCAATAAAATCCAATCGATTCTTGCATGCATTTATCATTGAAAAGAGTTCGACTTCGACAAACGCGTTACGCATCTAACATTTTTTTAATAGTCACCAAAAAGAACATTTTTATATATTTAAAACTTTTCATTTTAAACTTATCGAGAATTACAATGGACATATGCATGGATGTTATGTCTAAAGTTTACACATTTGGTTTGATTGTGTGTTTCCTTATCCATGTATAATCCCAATAAATATATCATGGGGCGGCATACTTATTCTTCATGATCTTAGCCGCAATTCTACTTTACACCTACAATACAACTTATGCTATGCCATATTGCATTACCCTGTCTATGATTAAGAGGCGTCCTTGAAATATTGGGGTCTATAAACAATTTAGTAAAACAAATTTCTACATAATCTAATAATATAGTGGTTAAAGACAAAAGTAAAAATAATTAGAATTTAATTTGTGAAGTGAAAACTGTAATTTTTATGAAGGTTAGTACAAAAAAATACTTGCCTACTTTAACATGATTTTTTACAGATTTTAATTCTATTTTTAACTAATTCTAACTAATTCATTTATTGTATTTCTAATTAATACAACAACATTTATTACAAAATATAAAATATAAATTATCTATTTTAAAATGTTTTATTACATTTTCCCTTTTAAGTCTTTCTAATTATTTCGATAATTGTATTTACTATGATAATTAAATACCATTTATTTTAGTGTTAATCATAATAATTTTATAGATTTGGATGAAATCGATTCATCCATAATGAAAATTCAAACCGATTAACAAAGAATTTTTTATTTGTGTATAAAATCAGTTAGATATGAGCATCAAAGTATCTATTTAAGTTTTAAATGGTTTTTTAAATATTAGTTTTTGGGTTTTAAAATTAAACTTCATTCAAATATTACAAAATTTTAGATGGAATTTGAGTCGGATTTTTTCAAGTCCGGGTGTGGATAGGTTTCTAGAAACCTAAAAAAATTCCAATAATACTCCCTCCGTTTTATATTAAGTGTCATTGTAGAGAATTTTTTGTGTTACAAAATAAGTGTCGTTTTCGGTTTTCAATGTAAAATTTATTAATTTTATTATGTAATTTGTTTTTCTATTGGTTAAAATATGGTTATGTGTATAGGTAATTGTGTTTTTATACAGGAAATATGTAAAATTAATTGTTTCCTTAATCCGTGTGCATAGCTGTAGAGTGACACTTATATTGAAACAGAGGGAGTATGTGTTAATAATGTTATTAGACAATTTTTCCTTTTTAAACTAAAAATCAAAATCCGCCCGGATGTTCGGATTCACATTATTTGACTAAATTATTGATTTTACTATAGCAATCATCCTAAAAATCTCCTTACAGATTTGGATAGGATTACGTGTTGAAGTACTGTTGAAGTAATAACTCGTCTCTTTTCACACTGAAGACATGTCTCACCTCTATAAATAAAGTGAATGAGGGGAGTATCTTCCCTACCAGTTTTGAACATATTGTTATAGTTCTCATTATTATTTTTTTCTTGAAACATTTCGTGATATGAATTCAAGATTCATCCGTTCGATTTCTTCCTCAAGGTTCTTCCCACCAATTCATCTTCACATTACATGATTGTATATGCTAATTTTACATGGGTGTATCCAGTTAACAATGTATATGTTTAATACGTGTGAGCGATGCAGGTGTTATGGGAAGAGTGAAAATGAAATGAGTAACGGCGATGAAGAGAGTAGTCAATACCCTTTTGTGAGTATTTTAAGTATGCGTGGAGGAGATGGAGACAATAGCTACTCCACCAACTCTCTTCTTCAGGTTCTTTCATCTTCTGTATATGTTTATTTTTCTTT